GCTTTGTAAAACAAACAAATAAATAAATGACTTTTAAGATAGCCACTGGTCTCCATATTTAAGTTCAAAGACCCTTTCTTGCCCTTCATCCCCCTTGGTCTCTGTACCACTCAGCATTACTGCTCTGCTCATTCCAGTTCTCAGCCTGACAGCTGCTTCTGCTATCTTCCCCACTCATACATATTTCTGCCACTAAATATGGGTGACTCCAAGCTCCACCACTGGTCTCCCATAGTCTGGAGATTTCACTCACTGCCATCCATGGCTTCATTCATGCAGGTGACTCTCATAGAGCATCCTTCTTACCCACCCTCTGCAAGGCTCTAGTCTTCATACAGTACCTTCACATAAAGAAGGAAGGGGGTGAGGGAATAGTCTATCTTAGCCCTGTCCCTGCCTAATTAGGTCACCTAACTAAGCCTCATTAGATTGCTGGGCTTTGTCCCTCGATTATGGAGATCATAGTAGACAGAAGATCTTTTAAAGGTTTCTTGCAGCATGTCAAAAAATTTGAAATTCTAAAGTTTATATGAATGAGTAAGTAGGCTAGGCAGTTAGCTAAAAATAGACAGTATAGCTAGGACAGAAGGTCCCCTGGAAACCCCCATTTTGACCTCCCTGTGACCTCAAATGGTGGAAAGGAAAAGCAGGATAGATCAGAATGAGGACACTAGGAGGACTAGGACATGACCAGTCAGAATGTTGCAGGCACAGCCAACCAGAATGCTGCTTTCTGCATACCTAATTAGCATAGAGATCTACCAATGCCCTGGAGATAATGGATAAAAACCTCAGACCATGTTACTTTTCTGGCACCCTCTCTTGGGACCCGTCCCAGCTCTGGTACCTTTATTCCTTGCTACTTTTCTGTAAACTCTCTTACTTTACTCTTGTTATCCATGAAGTTCATTGTTTGGCTTCATGAGACAAGAACCCAGAACGCCAACCCTCCCTCTGGCTAAACACCTAAGCCAGCAAGGTTGAATGGAGGTTTTCCGGCACACAAAAATCTTTTGTAACATTACTACCATTTATCCATCTCTGAATCTGTAAGTCTGGGGATGATCTTTTAATCTCCCTTCACTTTCTACCTTTTATCACTTTGTGACTCACTCTCAAACACCCTTCAAATATATCCCCCTCCCAATCCCCACTGCTGTTGCCTCCCTGCATCCCTTTGAACACCCCTGAGAGTTCATCTCCACTGGGTATACTACATTCTGCTGATCTGAGTAGTTGGTTAATTGCCTCATGAGATGGTAAAATCCATGTTTAACCACCCCTTACTGATTTATTTTTGTTTACCCAGCAGCACTAGGGTAGAGCTTGCTGGTAGAAACTGGAAAGGGATCTCTTACACAACCAGCACCTTTTTACATTTGACTTCCCCAATACCAAGGTCTTTTTTTTGGCCATTATTGATCAATTCACTCATTTTCTCTGCTCCAATGTCCTTGTTTTTAATAGAAACACCTGGCTTTTACTTGCCATTCCTTTGTTCAACAGATATTTATCAGGTCAATCTATGTGCCAAAATTATTACAAAGAAGTTTACGTCGCTGCTATCAGATAAGAGAGACACAGATGTACAGAGAAAAGCATCAAATGGTGACACGTGTGACCAGAGAACCGGAATGGGGACTATGACAGGACATGGGGTGGCTGTCTTTCTGAAGAGGCATCAGTTGAACCAAGATTTGAGGGTAAGAGCCTTTAACAGACAGAAGAGCAAGAAATAATAACTGAAAACAAGATTGGAGTATCCAAAACAAAAAAGGAAAACAGCCAATGTACACGGCACATAGGATGGAGGGTAGAGAGGACCTCTTTCTTTTGCACACACACACAGCATTTCTTTTTTTTTCCCCCCAGTGGAGAGGATTGAACCTAATGCCTTACGTACACAAGGCAGTGCTCTACAAGTAAGCTACAATCCCCAACCCTTGCATTCTCATATATTTTTAGGAAAAGCAATACATATGAAAGGTTTTTTCTACACTATTTTACATTCAAGTATTTCTTTCAAAAGTAATTAATTATTCTGTATTTACCTATTTCTTGTATGTTCAATTAAATCTCTCAAAATGTTACCATTATGGGGGGCTTTGTTTATAGTTCACTATATTTGCACTGAACTATTTCTAAATTCAGGAATGTGAAATGTTTACCATAGCCACTTTCTTTCAGTTGCAAATGTGTTTCTAAAGCAAGCATTCTAATTGCCCTTTACTGGGAAGTCACAGAAAAGTTAGGTATTTTGCAAGTGAATTCAGGAGAAAAACAGAAAGCTTGGGTAAGTTCACTTTAGGTAAGGTTAAGCTCAGCAGGACTAAACATACAGACAGAGCCAACCACCATCCCTCCTGCATTCTGGCATTGTCATGTTAACAGAGCAAAGAAAGGGATCTAGAGGAGGAGAAATATCACCCATCCCAACTAAAACTAGGACACTGGTTCTCTTTTTAAAGACTCATCTGGAGGGACACCGACCAGGCTTAAAAGTATTAGTCACTCCTGGCCACTTGCATTTTTCTACCCAATCAGAACTACCAGAAAGAATTGCTTTATTACTAAAAAGCACTATCCTGAAACAAAAATACATGGAAGTACATGGCAAAGTGAAAGGATGGATCTTAACTGCTAAAGTGATTCCTGACCCTGGAAGGGTGAGGTAGGGTGGGCCTGGAGATCAGATTCATAAGATTGAGCTGGAAACTGGGATGTCATAAATGAGGATCACCTAGGGTGGCAATGTGAGAGCCCATACCATTTAACTCTCAGGTCTCTGCTAATTTAGTTGATCCAGATGGTCAGCAGGAAGGTGGGAATTGCCTGAGTACTTTCTTGTAATGAAACCAAGTTTCCAGTGCAAAGGGCTAGTGACTTCACTTGGTAATTACCAATACACCAAAACCAGAGTTTTGTAAGGCAGTGCCAAGCCCCATGGAATGCTTCTGAACTAGCTTAAACCACTAGACTAGTAATTAAACTAACTTTATATGGGAGAGCTCTCTTGCTCAAACTTGAGCAATCCTGCTCATTTCAGGAAAGCAATTTTCGCACAAAAGTGGAAATAAGCAACTTCTGAGACTCAACTTCAACTCAAATACCATGGCTGGCAGCCTCTACTCACCCAGCTACAAAATTGGGATACCAACTACTTTCAAGGAGCATTAGTGGGTATTAAGCTTATGAAATAATGTGAAGATGAAAAGCACTAAGTCCCAGTCTTATATCACCTGCAGGTGATATATGCAGATATATCACCTACAGTATGTTTCTGTATCAGCACACAAGTTTCTACCATTTTATTCATCTAGACATTTGGGCAGTCACCTCCATAGTATACAAGTGTTTTTTACCAGACAGCCTTTGGAAAGACTGTGTGGCGTCCTGTCAAAATGACAAGCTGCTACATCATGTTATAGACGGCAGAGCCTGAAAATTTAGAAAAGATGATTTCTTTTCAAATTGATCCCTCCTATGCCTCATGACAATATGGTTCATTTTTTACAGCTGGTAATAAATTGGTAAACAATATGGCTATAGAACAATGTGTTCACACACAATTACAGAATGAGCACCTTTAAGTGTAATTTAAAAAATCAGTATGTTTATTCCTAAATACTACATACACCTAAATAAATAAGTTTCCTCCCACTAAGATCACTCCCATTAAAGAGGGCACCATATTATATCTGATACTTACAAAGGCTCAGATCATGGGGTACTATTCCAATCACTTGACCCTGAGACACACAGAGTACCATTTGGGGAAGGCAGATTTGCCTGGAGCAACTTCAATTATTACTAATTCTGGATATTTACTGAGGTCACCTGAAGAACCCAGGTTATGGGGAAAAGAAAGCATAGAAAAACCTTCCTAAGATCTCAAATGCTGACCAGAATGTCAAAACAAGTCATTTAAAGGTTCTCTGAAAACCAATATGGTAAGTCATTAAACCATTACAGCTTGGGGTAAAAATGAAGACCACGTGTTCTGCAAAACCATGTTTGCAGAATGTTTCCAAAAAGTACATGAAGTAGTAATCAAGATGTTAGCTTAAAATGCACAGAAATAATTTGAATAAAACGTTTTTTTCTTGACATATATGTATAGAAACATTAATTTCATACATTTCTGTGTAAATACATGAAACTACTTTAAGTAGACATTTGACTTTTCCGCTTATATACCTAAAGATTTACTTATTCAAGTTAGTATAAAGCATTTCTTACTTTGGAAACTTCTCACTGTAAAATGATGAGCACCTTATGCTTGATAAAGCCTTAGAGCTTATGCAGATGATTTCAGTATATTTTATTACGACCACAGAAAAGTATAAATAACAAATTTCAAGAATTCTCTAAAAGTTTGTTTTGCAATCATTCTGAAAGACTTTTTTAAATGAAAAATGTTTAAGATTTATAATAATTAAGATGGTGCACAGAAACAGAAAACATAGATAGGACCAGAATGTATAGGATCAGAAAATAAATTCTTGACCTGTTATGGGCTTCTCCTTCTTTTTATGGTACTGGGGATGGAACATAGGGCCTTGAACATGTTATACAAGTACTCTACCACTGAGTTACATCCTTGCCCTGTCTTCCTTAAATTGAATTCAGCATATCTCCTGAAAGATGGGTACTATGATCTTTGCATCTGTCCCTTATAGAGGATACCACTGAGAATTAGGTTTTTGCATCAGTAACAAATCCAAATAAAGCTCTAGCCAATCTTCTTGTAAAGAGATGTTGTTGAACAACTTTAGTGGGCAGCATTCACATCATACATATCGTGGAATTCTGCATAAAGAGAAGGTTTTTGCAAATGGCAGGAAAGGATGGGTTCTAATTGGCATGAAGGTATCCTATGGGTTCAAGCAGAGTGTCTTCTCTAGGTATAGAAATGGGAGAAATCAATTTCATGGGTGAAGAATGGCTGCTAGTTTAGGAGATGAGAAAATAATCAAATAAGTGACTAAAAGTAAAGTTACCTTGTAGATGCCAAAGAAACCCAGGTCTCGCACCACAGAGAGAGCACTCACTCGGGGACCAGTGGTGATTTCTCCAGCCACTTGCAATCGGATTTTGACAATTTCTAAAGGATTTGTGAAAATCACCTGGGAGCCTCCTGCCTAAAGAGAAAAAGAAAAGATTTAGGGTCAAAGCTGAGAAATGTTAAGGTGGGTTATGAAGGGATGAACAAGCATTCTCAATAAAGCTCAGAACAGTCTATCCTCAAGAGACTATACTTTCAATCTGTGTCCCATCGATTCAAACAGCAGGTGGTTGCAAATTTGAATCAAAATACAGTTACTGCTTAGGAAGCCTTGTGTAAAGAGCCCCTTGCTTCCTTAACATGGATGTTGAATGAGGGCAAAGTTTAGAGGGAGACTTCTATTGACCTACTAGAGTCCTCATAACTAAACGAAAAAGATTCCATGGGGGCTGGAACTGTAGCTCAGAGGCAGAGCACTTGCTTAGCATGTGCAAGACCCTAGGTTCCATCTCCAGGAGAAAAAAATTCCTTGCAGTACAAGCTACTGTCACCACAGGGCTCAAAGCAAGGATATAAAAGCAGCAATAAAATAAAAAGTGAATACTATCAAAATAAACAGCCAAAGACCTGCCTGTCAGGATAGGGGTATGGGGGGCAAGCATTATTCAGTGCTTTTGAATAGTGGATTTCATGATTCTGGCAATAATTTGAAAATTCCCAGAGAACATGTAAACTTAGACGAGAAATATCTTTAAAAAATCAAGTGGATCATTAAATACCACTTTATGGGATTTTTCTTACAATTTTATTTATGTACTACCTGTGTATAGAATTATTCCTTTCATATGAGATAAATGATATGTCAAAGTAGCAAAAATATGCATTAAACCAATTATGGCTCAAATGTTAAATAGTGTATGTTACGTCATTCCAGCAATGGCTGGATGCCATACCTCCAAGAATACCAGTGAAATCTTCAGAGTACATCATACAGGAAATTTTAAGCTAGCTATTTTGAAGCTAAGCCTGTATTTATTATAAGCAATTATATTCTTTTTTAGTGTACTTCAGCTTGTTTTTCCTTGTCACAAATAATTTTTATCTCATCCAAACTAAGATTCATATGCAGCACAATTCAGAATATTCATATGCGGTGGTATCTCCAAAGTCGGACTGAAGACCAGGTGCTTGCATTTCACAGCTTAGAAGATGCTATCATGCTAACATATATAATTTGGGACAAGATCACACAAAACTACCTCTTAGTAGGTTCTCTACTCCTAGCACCCAATGCATGCACACTCACAAAATAGGCTATAATAATTAAAACTAGCTACAAGGCTGGTCTTTGAAGTACTGTTTATAATAGCTGGGGATAAGAGTTAGAAACAACATAAATAACCAAGGTAAGGGATGGATTAAGTGAATTTGAATATATCCATGCCTTGAGATACTATGTAGCCAATAAAAATATTGTGGAAAAATGCTCAACATATACTGCTAAGAAAAAACTCTCTCATATTCAAAATGCATGTTCATCTTTCTCCAATCTACTTTACCAGCACAGAGAAGGTACACCAAATCAGTGTTTTCAAGGTGATGAGATTATAAATAGTATCTTTTCTTTTGGTTATACTTTGTTTTTTCTTTATAGATAATATAAAGAAAAATACTCCTCTAAAGAAAAATACTTGAGTATGACATATATATAATAATTAAAAACTCAAAGAGAAATGTTCATTCACTAACTCTGAATCAAAATGTTCTTCCATTTTACCAATGTGATACAACGTTTTCCTTTTTCTTTTTCATTTTTTGGCCTTTCTGGGGATTGAACCCACAGCCATAGCCTTGCACATGCTAGGAAAGCATGTGCTTTCAGCCATGCCCCCAACCCTTTTACTTGTATTTTGCTTTTGACATAGGGTGTCCCTAACTTTGCCAGGGCTGGACTAGAACTCCTCCTGCCTCCACTTTCCAAATTGCTGGGAGTACAGGTGCATGCCAGCTACCAACCTGATAGCTTAGTCAAGACTTACGTGTTTTTAAAAATAGATCATGATTTCCCTCACCCCACATTTAGAGGGCAATAGTATTCTCCTGCTGATGGCCACAGATTCCCTCTCCTTGTCTACTCCTATAATGTTTTGCCCATCAATTTTATCTATAACAAGGTAGGCCAAATGAGCTCAGTAGGAACAACTAGGGCTGGATTTACAGGAGGCACAAGAAGTGGGCTCACAAAGTAGGAAGCAGAGTGTGAGATAATACAACACCCAGAGGGTCTGAATAGTTGTGCTTTGTGCATACCTGCAGGGGCCCAAAAAGAGCAGCTCCTGCCTATCTGTGGCCCTTTGGTGTTCTGTGGGTTTACATCTGTTTTTTTATGCAGCATGGGGGTGTTGTTGAAGGTTAGCAGAATAAAGAGATGAAATAGTCTTAGCCTAATAACCATGTTAAGGGTATAGTAAGGTTTTTCTTATGCTTTCTGGACCACAGATGTCTTCACATGAAAATGAAAATGGTGTCAAGTGACCGACAAAAACAAACAAATTTTAAATGGAAAAACCGTTTTATAAGGCAGAACAGCTGAGTGATCCACTGGAATGGAATTAGCATGAGAGCTGATTTCTCAAAGCACAAAAGAGGGTGAAACCATCACTACTAGGGTACAGTGCAAAGTGACCAGAGAACTCTGATGTACCTGAAGAACAGAAGAGGAATGCAGTGTATCCTCATCCCACTACCACCAAGGGCAGGTAGGAAGGCAGCAGAAAATCTCCTGTGAAGACCTAGCTTTAGGCCCCTGTATGTCCAATGACCTTGCTTACTATGAAGAGCAAGGAGCCGGCCAACATCCAGCAGCCAGCGTGGTTCTGCATGTGTGGGTTCCTTTCCCTCTTTCTCCTAAGGTAGAGGTTCTTGTCCCTGGCTGCATGTCACAATCACTTGCAGAGCTTATAAAATGTAGTTACTTCTGGACCCCACTCCGGACAAACTAAGTAAGAACCTCTGAATTTACTTTTGTTAAAAATTTCCTATGTAATTATTATGAGTACAGAAGGCTGAGAATGCCTTCACTATGCCATCCTTAGGATCCCTGAGGCTTGGTTTACCAGGCTTCCTGAAAGCTAGGATTTCTAATCCTCATCTTCCATATTTCAGAGAGTAACTTTTATATTTTACTTCTAATCTCTTAACCAAGTGATACCATTATTAAAGGTACACTTTTTACATATACAATTTTTGTCTTATTGTCATATATGCTTACTAACACTCAAAAAAGTTGTTCACAATGTATCCAATAAAATGAGTTATACTCAATTCTTCAGCTCCAAGCCAATCAACAGATACCAATTCTTTGAGAACTGCAAAATAAGTTCTCATCACTAAGGATGATCTAAGAGATAAATGTACTTCAGAGAACCGTAGGAAACAGATCATCAGGAAGAAAGGGTGTAGCGACACAGGAAAAAGTTAATGACCAATCCATAACATCTGGTGGACAAGAAAGAACCTAGAGGCTCAAAGTGGCACATTGTACAGGTGTCAAAGATGAAACAACAGGTCCTTTGGAGGCAGACTGGAAGGAAGTGTGAGACTCCAAGGCACCAAGAAGAGATGCTTATCAGACGCACAGTCTGTGTATCACACCATGGCTCGACCACTGAACAGCACACTATCTGCTGCTCTTCCAGCTCCTGGTCTATTATCTATTCACAGTACCTCAGCCACGTTTCTCCTTCGCAGATCAAAGATAGATGAATAGGCAGACAACGAACAGGAACACCTATTGTGCACAAAGTCTTTGTGTCCCTCATCACTTGAGAGCTCTGGCTGTGTGAGGATACTGGTGTTTTTGTGTGTGCAATTTCATCACAAATCATTTTCTATGATTTTCTAGATTCTGTGGCAAGTAGGATGGAGGAGATTTCCCATACTGAAGTCAGTATAGCATTTTGTATTCACAGTGATAACACTGACTTCTCTAGGTCTTTCCTGCTATAGCTTTTGTTAGTGAATACATCTAAAAAGAAACACATATACCTATTACAGTCTCACTTCTACTAATTCATCATTCATTCACAAAGTTGTTCTTCAAATATTTATAAGCAATAACATTCAAAGTTTGTTTCAGAACTGTTGGGGCACAAGATGAGTGAGAAAGTCGTCCTGTTCACAGGGAACTTAAGGTAAGCGTGGATACCTGCTAAGCATCCATTATGGGCTACTTTGGATATTGCTTTGCATATAATATGAATCTTCAGTCCACTGAAGAGGTGCTTTTTTCTGATTTCACATAAGAGTAAACTGAGGCACAGAAAGATTAAAGCAATTATTGTAGGATGAACTGTGTCCTACCAAAAGTCATAGCTTCCTATGACTAACCTCCCTGGGGCACCTAACCTCCAGTGCTTCAGAAAGTGGGGCCTTCAAAAGAGATTAAGTAAAAATGAATCTAAAGGTGGGCCTTAATCCAGTAACAGAGGAATAAATACGGACATGTAAGAAAAAGACCAGGTGAGGACACAGGGAGAAGGCAGCCATCTATAAGCCAAGGAGGGAGGTCTCAAAAACCAACCCTGCCAACATCTTGATCTTGGACTTCCAGCCTCCAAAAATTTAAGAAAACAAATTTCTGTTGTTTAAGCCACTCTGTAGTGCTTTATTTTGGCAGCACCTGAAAACTAATACAGCAGCTTATCCACGGCTACACAGCAGTAGGCAGGGGAAAGGATTTTCGAAGGAGATCAATAACTACAGAACTCATGAATACAGGAAATGGCATGTGAGAAAGGATAATTACCACTCTGTAGAAAGTTAAGGTCCATACAAACTGAGATAATAGCTCAAAGGAGGGCAATACTTCTCCTGGCTAGGATGTTCTCGGAGGTGGTAAAGCACGTAAGAAGTGGAGGCCACTTCACTTGCCTGTGGTCACACAGCTAGGAAGGTAGGTGTGCATTCCAAGCTAAAGATGCTGGATACCAGAGCCTGAGCACCTACTAACATTTCTTATCATGGTAGCATGAAGGAACTGACCAGTACTCTTCCTTCCAGATGGCATGGAAGGGGGTGGCTGGAAATGAGATTGCTGGGTTAAATGATGGATAGTCATTCAGGCCACCATCCTGA